TAGTACTGAAGGTTCTTTTTTTCTTTTTTCTTTTTTTCTAAGAGGCTCGCTCTGAATGAAATGCAAAATTATTATGTAGGACAACGGATTTGTCTGTTCCTCTGTATTGTGTTGGACAGCTTGGTTATCACTGTGCCATCACTCAAACCTGTAATATGGCGATAACGTCACCACCATTAGCAGTGCGTGTAAACTCAAGTTAGACTATGTTTCAGACCTGTAATCTGAGCTATTTACAAGGGAGTTTATGGTACTCCCAGTGAGATCCAATGACTCACCTTTTTCTATATTTGGAGTGTGTAAAAAGACCCAGAGTCAATGCCAATTATTACATGATGAGAGATGGACTGGAGTGGACTGCAAAGGTCAACAGTACACTTAAAGTGAGAAAGCTTTTTTTAAATTCTTTTAGAGCATGAAATTAAACTGCTACCCACAAATTTGAACATTTCTGCTTTAGCCTTGCTTCTATCCTATTAGCTATCCACATTTATGGTTCTGTACATACTCCAGCTTCCCACTTGTTCTTAAAATAACAACTGAATATGCTCCCCCATTCACCAGGCCTACCCCACTTTCTCACTTCCCAATATTGTGTGAAACAACCAAGTGAAAAAGTTCACTCCTTTTTTTGGTATTTGGGTATTTTTGGGAGTGTGTGGTTTGTACTCTGATACAGGTTGTACTGTACTCTGTTGTTGTTGCGTTGATCAGGTGTGTGATCAGGGCAGGCGATATGAATCTGCTGATAGAAAGGTTCATGAAGGAGTGCTTGCTTTTTGAAAGTAAGTTCCTTAGTTTTTTTAATTGCTAACACTCTGCTGCTGGCCACAGTATACGTAACATGAATATATATGAGATGCAAAACAGCACTGCAGGGGAGTGGCTTATATTCAGTGTATCTTCTACAGTATGATGTATTTTGAACTGAACAATAGCTACGATTCTGTCGTCTATCCTTCCTCACTAATTTCCTTGTTTCCCAGTTCAACCAGTGCGTCATCTGCTTTTTCCAACAGATTTTCTGTTCAGTCACTAGCACGTCAGCTTTTTCAACCTCACCTTCTGCATCTCATCACGCACCTTCTACTTTGACATTAACACTGCTCTTTCCATCTTTCTACATCTGCTCCACTTTTTCTTGCTGACATTTCTCCTGTGAATTCTCTTCTCTACCTCCTCACTCCACCAACAAACCTTTTTTGCGACATGTTTCCCCTCCAACTAAAACCAAACATATTATTGGTAGTTTCCTCTGTAGCTATTTTCCCCAGTTTTTTATGAAAGTTTCTCACTACAAAAAAAACAAAAAAAAAACCACTGCGTCTTAGTTTCTACCTCCACTTCCCCGTCGTTGTTTTCACTCTCTTCCTCCACACCACCATCAGCCTGTGCTGTCTCACTACCTTCTCCCCTGGCACCATTTTACATCATCCCGTCTCTGTCAGCTGGCAGTTCCTGCCCTGGATATCATCCACCTGTGTGAACCTTCCTTCGCTCTTCTGCTTGTCATCCACTCCATCAAGCTTGCTCTAGAACAGCTTCTCCTCCGACTGGTGCTCAGCCTGTTGTGTGTACGCACAGACAATATTACATTTAAAAAAAGAAGAAAATTACGGGTTCAGTTTTGTTGAAATTTAGTTTATGTTTCTGGTTAGCAAAGGACATATTTTAGGTACATTTTATTGAGTATTTTTTATCTAATTTGGATTTTCACTTATTAAAAAGCTAAAAGCGAGGAGATATAAAGAGGAAGAGAGTTCTGACCTCCAGTTCCACTTACTGGGATGTAAACATTTACCTTTAAAGCATTTTTTCCTATAAGAAAAGAAATGAGTTATAATCAAGTTTGTTTCAGTTTCTGGGTGTAAGGGAAAGCGTGGCTGGTAGTTGAAAGGAACCATACGCAACATCACAGGTACAAGCTCAGGATAAAGCCACCAGGTCACCTGGGACTGATATCAAAGAGAGTCAGGGGGCTGTTATCTAGAGGTGAGTGTCAGACCCCTGCAGCTGTGATTCCTCTCATTAGTCCCACTCTGTGCCTCCCTCTCTTTGCTGCTTCTCTTCCTCCTGTCCTCAATGTTTATCACTGTGCTGTCAGCTGCCTGCTCAACTGGAGACACATGCACCAGCCGGGGAGGGGGATGGATATCAGGACAGATGAACAGAGAAACAGACAGAAGGAAAGAATGGAGGGAGAAAGGAGGGGAAAAAAAGGTTTGAGGCACCGGCTTGTCAGCTGAAGAAATGCATAGAGAAGATATGAATTCCAATCTGTCTTGTAAACATCTTTCTCCTGCCGCTGCTTTAAGACCAAAGAAAACCTGCAGCAGGAAGACTGCCGTACTTCCTTTCCCAGTCTTGTCAGCGTGACTGCAGTGATAGAAAATAATAAAAGAAACAGGAAAAGAGAGGAGAGAGGAGTAACAGCTATGGCAGCAACACGGTGTCTTGCCAGGAGACACAGCAGGGTTCGATCCTCCAGTGACAGACAAGAAACAAACCAGGGAACAGACCGGGCCAGATTACTGCTGCCTTTTTCTGTCATTATAAAATACTAATAAGTGACAACGCAGTTGACATTAAAGTATGGGATTGTTGGAAATATGACGTTCATGTCAGACAGCACATTTATATATTTGAAAATATCTGCCAGGCTAACGGGGAGTGATTGTGTAGATTTATTTTTTTCCTCATTTGATGAGGGATTTTGACTTTTGTTTTATTTGTTTATTCGCTGCTAGTTTTGAATGACAGCAATTTATTAATATTTCTGCTCAATCTAAATGTCAGATTTTGGATCTCATCGTCATCTGTTTTCTCTTAAAACTGGTTGGTTTCTTTCACTGATGTCTAGAGTAAAATGTTCACAGTTTTATTTGCCATCAGGAAAATTACTGTTGTCCTTGACAGTCAGTTATTTTTATTATTTTGATATATGCGGCATTTCTCAAGTTAGATAAGTTAAAATGTCCTTACACATAATGACCATTAAATGTGATTTTATATTTCTTTAATCCTAATAACTACCCACGACACCTTCACTCTCAGGGATTTAATATCTCCAACGTTTACACTTGATGAAACACATACATATATAATAACTCTGTTGACTTGTTACATTTCTGCATTATTTTATGAATATTAAATTTTAAATGTTGATGTCCATCTTTTTGTTCATCCCATCAAGCTTCATTCTGTAATCTGTTATTCTGTAATTAATTCCAAGTCAATTTCAGCAAAATAGATAAGACAGGTTCTGTCTATTAATAGTTCATTTTCTTCTACCCTTCAGCCCCTAAACCTGGCACACCTTCTGCTTCCTTTAACCTGTGCAGCATTAACTGTTCCTCTGAGATTCACCACCACTGGCCTTCGAGTCAATACTCTTGTCACCTCTGGTTTTAACCAGCTCCCTCCTGGTTGGCTTTTCTCACAAACTCCTTCATTAATCTCAGCTTGAATCACAACCCACTGGTCCATGTCATCACTGCAGCTCCTTGTTTATCTAAAAGAGGAAAGACTATCTAATGCTCTTTCCACCTACAAGCTTCTGCACAACTCCGCTCCTGTATGTACCTCTGTAACCTCCTCCAAATCTATACTCGCACTTGAACCCTTCGATCGTCCACCTCACTCCACCTCCTGCCCACTTGACTTCAATGGGTCCAGAGCCTTCCACTGTTTACCCCTAAATTCTTACTGTTTTAAATTACCCTTGAAACCTACAGTATTACTGTAGTTTTTTTCTTTCTAGTGTAATATTCTTTTCTTTTCCTTCATATTAATATCCGTAGTGTTAATGAAATTGTAATTTAATTAATTAAATTAAATTAAATTTGATGCCATATGATGCTACAATAAAACATGGACTAATTTAATCACATCCCAATCCATCTCTTTTTCTGTAAAGACAGGCTACATTCAAGAGACATTTCTCTCCGACACATGATGGGGAGTTGAATTTTGCTATGATTTACTTTTACTACTTTACATTGAAGGATCTTCCTATAAATCCAAGTTACTACTTTGTCATTTTGTGTCTTTGCAGTCTTAAAAAATAAGGTCAAAGACAGCAGGTGGACCCCCCCGCCCCCACCGTAAATAACACAGCGTTCACCTTACAAATGTATTATCTACACACACACAGAGGGAGTGTGTCAGGAGACGATCTGCACCTTGCGGCAGCAGTTCGTTACGCTGATGTGGATTACGATAGTGAAGACAAAGGGAGTCAACCCCCTCGGTGTGGTAATCCATTGACAGATAAGAAAGCTCTTAGCCTCATTGACAACCTCCTGCAGCCACAGGCGTCTCCGCTCACTACAGCCCAGATAATAACACAGGGTTTCCATGCATGTTGTCCCTGCTACACTGCAGCCTGCTGTGGCAGATTTTTACAAATAAAACACAGCACATGAACACTGCAGGCTTTGCTCTTCCCTCACATTTTTAGCACACGTTACCAGAAAGACATTAATCTATAGTATGGAGAGTGTCAAAAAGCTAGGTGAGGTAACACTGTTTCTGTGTCAGTGCAGATAAATAATATATGCTGTTCAGACGTGGTGTGACTGATGAAAACACATGCAGACAGTATGGAGCTTTCTCTCAGCATGCAACACTAAAGGTGAGTGTCCATTAATATTACAGCAGCATAGGAATACACTCTTGTAACTGTTAGTCCTTCATTGGTGGAAAAGGAGAGAGAGAAGATAGATAGATAGAGAGAGGGAGCGAGAGAGAGAAAGCCCATTCTGGACTCATTCTGTCTTTATTTATGATCCCTTTAACACGTCCCACTCCACTGATGCTCTAGTGATCACGCTGCATGCCTGCGCACTCCCAATTTAAAGCTGTCACTGAGCACAAGTTCACTGCTCTCACACACTGCACTCAGCATCACTGATCTCAGCCTGGTACATAACACACTTCCCAGGAAAAAAAAGAAAGAAAAGAATCACAATGGAAATGATAAGGAAGAGAAGTTGTCTTACCTGAATGTGTGTGTGTGTGTCTTATCTGCCGCTCTGTCAGTGTGTGGAACGGAAACTTCTTCCTTAACAGCCCACCCTCCCTGCCTACTCTATCCCTCTCGCTCTCTCTTTCTCCTCTCTCTCTCTCTTTCTCTCTCCCTATCCCTCTCTCTATCTCCCTTTCTCTCTCACTCTCTCTTTCTACCTCTTTCACTGCTTGTCCTTCCTGGGAGTCCCTTATCTCCCATCAACCTGATGCAATCAGTAAATCTGTACTAATTTATTAAGTAAATAAACAGAGACAAAGAGAGAGATGGAAGGTTAGAGGGATGGATAGATAGATGGATAGATAGATAGATAGATAGATAGATGGATAGATAGATGGTGTGTATTAATCTCTGTCAATGAGTGTGTGAGTGTGTTTTTTGTTGTAAGGAATGAGAGCCAGACACAGACGGATAAATGAATGGGGAGGAGAACTACGTGTGCTGTGTGGCAACAGTGCTGCCCACCTTCTCTGCTGCTTATTGTCGGACTCTTCATCTCATTTCTTGGGGGAGGGGGTGGCCATGGCCCAAGAAGAAGGGGCTTGAGAATACATGCTCTCAAATTGAAATTCATCCCACCCCGTCCCCCTGTATAATCCCATTCAAATTCTACAGTCTGTTGCTTTCTTGTATTTAAATGAGTGTTTGACTAAATCCCTCCTCGTGCCTTTGCTTTTCTTGGCCAGCGTTTGGCAGCCTGCAGCACTCTGTTGCATCTGAGCATCCTAAATGCTTCCAGGCGCACTGACATCTTCTTTGTGTTTTGGCCAATACTCTGAAATAGAAATAAAAGAGTGGGTAGCAGAGTCGTGCAACAAGGCTTAAAAAATCTAATAGCAGGGCGACAGCATTGGTCCTCCCTGACCATGGGAAGATAATGTGGTGTAAAGAAACAAACAAAAGATAGTGTGTGTGTTTCTCTTTGGCTTTTGTCAAAGTTTGTTCTCTCCTCAGATTAAAAAAAAAGAAAGAAAAAAGAAAAGAAGTATGGAATTAAGAAAGCTCACAAATGATTGATTTTAAATCCAGACTCTGTCACAATGATGGTCATCTGGTCTTTGGTCTATAATCTAAATGATGTTCCTATTTAATAAAAAATAAAATCTAAGAGATGAATGTCATCACTCTTATATAGTCTGGTAGCAGTGACTATGATGTTCCCAATGTTTAATGTCATTCTTATTCTTAGTATCTGCCTTATCTGTGAGATGACTAACTAGACACGAAGATGGAAACACACAGTGGAAAACAGCCACAGTGGGTTTTTTATGTTTAAACCTTAAAATATTTCCAGATCCCTGAACAAGAAATCTTCCAGTGGACTCACCACCTGAAGGAAGGTTTGGGGGGTTGGTACGGTGCACTGTGATTTGGGTGGCGACTGCTGCTCCCGCGACCTGGTAACGGATAAGCGGATGAAAATGGATGAATGGATGGATAAACAAGAAATTTAGAGACAGAAGAACAGCGTGTTTGCAGTATTTCTTCAAATGAATGAATACATCTATGAACATAAAAATCCTAGACAATTAAAGTAGTTTTAATGGCGTTCCATGCAAACACGTTAACTCTGTGGTTCAGAAACCGTGGTACATGTACCGCTGATGGTACCTTTGGCTAATCATAATGAAGGAAAATCTTTGCATACTGTGCTCTGCTGAACAGGGCAGGTCTGTGCTGCTGTAGTCGACTGTTTTTATTTATTGTTGCTGCTGGAACTCATTCATTCTTCATTCCTCTTCTATTCAATCAATCACTGAATAGAACACAGCAGCAACTGTCTACATGAACTACTTGCATTAAACAATGACTAATACACTCAGACCAACCATGGTCAGGTGTGTACATGCTTTTTTATTTTGCCTGTTCAATGAATCTTGTACCATGTGACCACGTTCACTCACGGTCATCTGGGTTTGGCCTTTAAATTCTGTCCATCTGTCACTCACAGCAGGTGTTTTGTTTGTTTGTTTTTTTCCTCCACCAAAAGACCAGCCTGCAGTGCATAATCTCAGCAAATGACCAGTTCTAGCCGTCATATGATGATGGGAGAGGAAAACAAATTGGTCAGTGAGTTATTCTGTGCCCAATTATAAATCCCTCTTTACACTTGAAACCTGCACCCAGTATAATTGGAATTTAAATCAGCCTTTTCAGTCCTTTCTTCTCCATCACTGTGCATGTGTGTGTGTGTGTGTGCAAGGCAGCCTATGTGTGGTTCTCTTGGCAGAAATGCCACGGTTGTCTTCGCTGGCATTAATTAGTGAGAAAAAGCATTTACTGCAAGAGCAATCCAAAAATCTTTAAAATGTCTTTCCCTTGAAATATAAACAGAGGATGAAATGTTAACAATAAATTAGTGGGAGGATAGTGGTAATGTAGGAAGGATATCCAGTTTTTTCTTTGTTCCAATTTTGCCAAGCGATAAAATAGAAGATGTTTTTTTTTAAAGATGAAATGTCATTTGATACTAGATATCTTCATCTTTGCTGAAAGTGTTTTCTTATTTTCTCTGTCACCTACAGACATAAAACAAAATGATAGATTTGGAAAACAATGTCAACTCCGAGGATGGCTGACACTTTATTTGGACATGTAATTTGTTTAAAGGACACTATGTAGGGTCAAATACCCGACAGGTTTGTGATTATGTTTTATTGTTACAGTACGTGTTAGAGAAGTATTTAGATGTAGTCACTGACACGTTTAGATAAAAGCCACGTCTCCCTCATTTGTCCTGCTCCAGGTTCTTACGACTGTCCTAGACCAAAGAATTGAACCATCAACTGACAAGTGACATCTTTGCGCTTATTTAGGTAGATAAAACAAACTGAATTGAAATTCTATTTCAGGTCAAAAGTCTTGTGGACTTTAATTCCAACCTACTACTATGAATAGCAAGAAATACTTTACTTAGATTTTAGTACTGTAAGTACCAGGATAATAATATTAGTAGTATAATAGTAAAAATAGAATAAAATACAAATGTAAAACTTAAAACTGACTGTTTGTTTCATGCACACTGCAACACTAAGGAGCTGATTGACTTATATATAGTGTGAATAGTGTGGCTGGTGTAGTGTGTGTGTGTGTGTACTTGTGTACACCTACATCTGACACTCACAGCCATTCCTTTTCTTTATTTTACAGCAGGTACATACATCACATATGAGTATACATTAAGCCCTGGGGTAAATGGGTCAGTCAATTTCTCTGTAGCTGCTGCCAACGTAACAGCCTGGTTTCATCAGAGGGATCGTGATTTCGCTCTGTTTAATTATTCATGACCGGGATCCACGAGTGCTTACTGTCTTGAGTCTTCAGCTCAGCTTCAGTGGCGAGAAGTGGTGCCGTTCACTGTCATGAATATTTCAGATATTTGAATATGTTAAAGTTAGATGGAGTAGTTTTTGATTTGCCAGACTCACTTACTGTATTAGATATGAATGAAGATTTCCTCCATCCATCCATCCATCCTTCCATCCATCCTTCCATCCATTAAACCCTCATGTCATATTAATCATATTCTAGCCATCAATCTACAGCTGACCAAAGAACTGCCGAGAAATATTTTCTGCTTTATCTTTGAGCAGACCTTTACATTCCATAATATTGTCCTTCGTTTTCACTTTGATTGTTATTATAAACAGCAACAGTTTTTGTGTGTGTGTGAGTGTGAAGCAGGTTGCAGGAATCTCGATGCTTGTGGGCTGACCTAGTTTCATCATTAGCTCTGTTTTTATGGAGCAGCCTGACAAACCGAATATAGCAGCACAGTTGAATCAGATGATGGATCCAAACATTTGCTGCTTGTTTTCTTTGTTCTTGTCACTGTTGATGCTTAAAAGCACTGAGGACACAAGACCCCCGACAACATGCACCTTAAACCTTTGTAAAGCTGCGATTTGTTCAGGTACGGTGTCATTCAAACCTGTTTAATGTATAAGACAAAAAAGACAGAAACATGTTGCAGAGTAGCAGCTCTTCAGTTCTCAGTAACAGACAAAACTAACATTTAACACGGTAAAGAAACCACAGTCTGTTTTAGAGAAAGTTTAGTTCTGTTACTACTGAAAAAAACCCCACACTGCTGCCTCCAGTTATAATTTGGTTCATATTCAAAAAGTTTATTGACCCCCCCCTTTCAAATAACCAGGTCAATAATATATTAATCTATTATTCATTTTGATTCTTTAATGTCAAATTCAGCTGGGTTAGAGCTGAACTGGAGCCCTAGGAGACAGTTGAATTAAAACGAGATTCTGTGATAATTCCGCATGCATGATCCTGCCTCCTGTGATGAATGGATGGTATAAAGGAAACAATACCAACAACCAATAGTTTGCTTCTATCTCTTGTATGTCTGATGGTTTTCCGCTTTTTTTGTTCATTTACCTCAAAGTGAGGCAGTGATGCTGTGGCTGCATATGAGCCCAAATGTCCTTCTCAGAGTTGATGATCGTGGAGGCAGGTAATCCTCCCAACCAGATTGAATCCACACACACACACACTTACACATACACACCTAGACTATAAGATGATGAATCTGTATAGCCCGCAGCAGCAGCCGTCAGTGCCGTCATGACTCAATCTGCATCTCTGCCCTGAAGCCTCTGCTGCAAAGCTGATTTAATTTGTTTCCATCAAAATGCACTTTCTCTCCTTTAACTTCACATCTCCTCCCTCTTTCAGTTTTCCACCCACCTTCTTTCATTTTCCTTCTTTAACCTTCGCTACTGTCCTTCATCTCACACCTTTGTTTCTTTTTTTTTCTGACTCCCTCTGACCGTCATTAATATCATGTGTCATTTCATCTGCCGCCCCCTCCTTTTCATTTCTGAGACTGAGGGTATTTTTTCTTTCCACCAATTGGATCTTGATATTTCCACTTGGATTTCCAACCAGGCTGACATGTAATGTTGGTGCCTAAGTGTAGGCAGTGGTGGAGGAGAGTGAGTGAGAACTGCAACCTAATCCTTTGGCAGGGTGAACGATGCTCCAAAGGTGGAGGATGTTAGGGTATAAATAAATAAGGCTTTACATCTGAAACCTTCTTGAAAGGTCTGTGCTGCTAAACATCTAAGATGATCTGCTCCGGTCTC